CTGTCAGGACCTTCTGCAGGCTGCCAGCAGCATCCCTCCTGCAGCTGACGGCCCGGTGCGGAGGGTCGGGCTGAAGAGACTGCCTGTCAGATCCAGATCTGCCCCATTGTTCCTGCAACAATTCAAGAGGGCTGAAGGGTTTAAAAAGGAACCAACGATAGCAGCGCTTCACTAAATGTGCCAGGAGTGAGTACACAGTCTATTAAGATACATTCACATCTCAACACTGAGCTTATGGGGACATTTGATTTTATATCTCCCTATTGAGACGTAAAATATATGTTTTGTGGTCTCAATGACAGTTGATAAGGTTTCGATTCACTATGTGTGGTCATAGGCGGGTGATTAGATATGGGCCCCTGGGCGTAGACACATTTAAGGCCCTGCCACCTTCATACATGGGAGAAAGACAATATAAAGACCTTATAGCTGTTTGGATTCAAGATTCAAAGGCTTTATTGTCAAATGCACAGTAGCTACAGTTATGGCAATGAACATGTTAAATCCCAGGCTCCTTCAACAATGGAACATAAATACATATAGGACATAAACAATAAAAAAATAGTACAAGAAGAACATAACAGAAATGCTAGAGGGTGTTACAATGTGCAGGTTAGCCTTTACGTCAGTGTTTTTATCTTCTTGTTGTGTCTTCTTGTATATGTTATGTCTTCTTGTATATGTTGTGTCTTCTTGTCCCTACACATCTCCCTTTTTGCTATTTATAGATATGAATTGTCTCTTTGGTTGTTTTGCCCCTTTTTGTAGTTGTTTTGTGTTTTTTAATATTAATGCAGCTTCACTTACCTTCTTCACATAGTCATTTTTAGTCCCTGTGGTTGCGTTCCTATTCGTGGTCATATTTAGTGTCACTTTTTGGTAGTCAATTTGTGTTTCTTTGTGAATACTTTCCCTTCTTTTCGTAGTCGCTGTGTCTTTGTGTGGCTCTTTGCAGCTTTTTTGTGTCTCTTTGTGGTTGTTTTATGTTTCTTTGTCGCCATATTGAGTTTCTTCCTGGTTGCTACATCTCTTTTTGTGTGATATTTTGTAGGGGAAGGCCTTGGTGCCCCTAACACTTTGGAACTCTTAGCTTTTTGCCTAGTAGGCCTGTTCAGTGAACCATCCATGTGTGTGGTGCCTCATTAAATACTATCCAGGCTATAGTGTGACCCAAAGTGCTCCTCTCCGA